GCGTTGCATCGTGCCGCGTAAACATAAAACCATGTCTGCATTTGTGATCGGAGAAATAACAAACAACAAGCGCTATTCTACACTGCTCAAAACTCGCGTTTGAAAAGAAATATGAAAACGTACTTACAGGCTGTGAGTCAGCATTATTTGTCAGAACACGGGCATTGTAGGCTACTCTCCCAGGAAACAGTCCTCGTCCTCCATAAAATGCGCTGCACACATCTGAATATTTTGGTTGAACTGTTCTGGAACAGTGTTGTAAATACAACTTGATTTCACTGATTTCTAGTCGTGCCCTCTTTTGGAAGGCCAAACTAAGTATTTTCGCTTTCGCCACGAAACACACAGCTTCTTCACAACATGGCGGCGGCGGTGGCAGCAACAATAATGTTACGCCTTCTTTCTTTGCGTGAACATTTGGGCGGCATTATGCAAATCTTCCCACACAGTAAGGTAGACATGTGGGGGCGTGTTTAAATGTGGCGTTTTAGGAGGGCGTGGACCAGTCTTAGCTTTTATAAAGAATATCTCTTTGGGTTTGAGACTTTAGTATTTGCAACTTTAGGGATCTTATCTATTCACGAACAGCTTGTAACACTCCAAAGAGAAAGGAAAACTTGAAATCGCATTGTAACACTCCAAAGAAAAAGGAAAACTTGAAATCGCATCATATGACCCCTTTAAGGGGTAATCCAAAGCCGTAGTCCAATAAACAGGCAAGAGGTCATAAACACAGGGTAAACAGTCCAACACAAAACACCAGGCAGGAAACTCAGGCAAACAGGGTAATCCAGAAAACAGACAGGGGTCAAGACCATGGAACAAAAAAACAATAGAGCACTCAGAACTGCAGTAATAACACATACAAGACTTTGCAAGGACCCAGGGAAATACACAGGGTATAAATAGGGAGAGACAAACAGGATAACAAGGTAAACAAGGGGGAGGAGCTAATTAAATACCATGGGAACTAACAAGGGGAACCATGACAACAAACAAGGCAGGGGGCAAACAGCAAATGAGACCGGACAAAGATTTGTGGGAAATGGAGTGGCAGTGGAGTGGGGAAGAGTGCCCTCTGGTGGATGTCCAGGGCACTCCAGCTGGTGATGTGACAGGCACATTGAGGTAGTTGCTCCCCCCCCCCCCCCCCTTAAAAAAAA